TCTAAATATGAAAAAAGTACCAAGAATTCAGGGGCACCCTGTATAATGTATGTATGTATGTATGTACGTATGTATGTATGTATGTATATATATCTATGTATGTAATATAACGTGGTCCCGGAGGGAACAGTGCGTTTTCCGGGGCCCCCTCCCAGAGTGTTGTGGCGACACCCCCCCCCGGGGTGGCGCCATAAAGCACAAAAGTCACAATAGTCCTCGAGTAAATATCGTATTATATATGAGAAGGGATATTAATAAAGATATCGCACATGTATTTAGTATTTAATATTTTTTATTATATACTTTATATGTATTACATATTTCAAACACTTTACATGTATCATTTTTATATTAAGAATAAAATACAGTTTGCACGAATTAAATCACATTGTCCTTGTGTATCCATGAATTGTTTGATCCATCGAATCCCAGCCATTTCACGTAAACCTCGTCGCCCCTCCTGCGCAATACTTTCTCCACGAGATACACGTCCGGATAAGTCGCGCGATGCAACTCGTATTCGTAGAACGCTCCAGCGACGGATTTTCCACGATAGTCCTCGAGTAAGTAAGTTACGGGATTGGTATGCTGCACTTTATCGATCTTAAACACCTCGGTCCAATTCGGTGTGTAACCCTTTTCGAAAATTGTCTTGTATTTGCTGACGCGTACCGAGTCGCTCATTTTAAACTTTTCCGGACCCGCGATCTTTATCGCGCTGTACACCACCGTAGCCAAGAGTCTTTCGGCGATCGCGGGGGTAACGTCGACGGGTCGCATGCCGATCGTTCGATGCTTACGCGAGTTGTAATCCGACACGAGTCGCGATAACGCGTCGACCTACTTGTAAGTTCCATTGAGCGTAAACATCTTCCACATGTTGTTTTTTAACGTGCGATTGAATCGCTCGACGACTGACGCCTTCATCACCGAATACATAGAATAATGATTGATGCAGTGTTTTTTCACGAGACGTTGCACGTCGGTGTTATAAAAATTCTCCCCCATGTCGGTTTGTAGATTACTAGGGCACCTCCCGCTATCTCGTTTTATCTCAGCGATAGCGTCAGCTGTCTCGCTGCCACCTTTACCATTGAGTGGCACGGCCCACGCGTACTTGCTCAACACATCGATGACGGTGAGTATGTAGTGGTAGCCTCCGTTGAAACGCGAGTACGGACGCATCTCGACGATATCGGCTTGCCACAGGTCGTCGTACTCTCGCACTATGACGTGTCTGCGGGGAAAATTTCTTTTTGCCGGTGCGTGCAATTCGTCCACCAACCGTCGCTTTTCGATATTTTTATCCACATCGGTCGATTTTAACGGTCTCATGTTCGGTTAGCGTTTTGTTGGCTGTCGGTCGTCGTTCTTCGACTGTACGTAACCGTTTCTGTTTATGTTTCTGCGTCGTTCGTAGCTGTTTTTGAACCGCTCAGAAACGATTTTGAGCCGTTCCTGAACCGTTCGACGGCCATTCTCAAACCGTTCGTTGTCGTTCGTCGTCGTCAGTTAACTGCTTCTTGTCACTCATCGTCGTCGTTGTCGTCGACGTTCTTTAGCCGTTTGTAACCTTTCCTGTCTCCGCTAGAGTTCCTATAATAAGAATTAAGCCAATGTGGTGACGATTTTTTATTGGTCCCGTCATATGTTTCAGCCAAGTTAGTGAGAGTGAAACAAGCTGTAAGTGGGAGTGAGACAAAGTTATCATGGTCGTCATATGTTTCAGCCAAGAAGTTAGTGGGAGTGAGACAAAGCTATTATTTGGCTGTACATGGCGGCGGTTTGTCCTAACTCTTATTATAGGAACTCTAGTCTCCGCGTAGTTTGCAGCTGTTTCTAATCCGCTCGTAATCGTTTCCGAACTGTTTTTGAACCGTTTGACAACCGTCCGACAACCGTTCTTGAATCGTCAGACAGCCGTCCGACAACCGTTCTCGAATCGTTCGTTGCTGTACGTCGCCGTCGTTAATTAACCGTTGCCTCTTTTCACTCGTCGCCTTTCAATAGTCGTTTCTGCTGAACCGTTTCTTCATCATTCATTAGCCGTTTCCAATCTAACGATATTCGCACGTCGAAGCTTGTTTATCGCAGCCTACTGTAACGCTCGCACGTCTTTCTCAAACGCGGCAAACTTCTCGTCTAACCCTTTCCGTTGATCTGTCAGACTTTTAACGCACCGATCCACGTATAGTTTGTTAACCGCGTCACCGTCTGTCTCAGGTTGCGCTACGCGACGAATCTTGCGCGACCTTGCGTCAAAGTCCGTGGCGGTGCGACACAGAGCGTTGTCGCGCACGTTTCTCACTAATCCGCTCCACCGATGGTACGAAATGGCATTCGTCGCGTCTTCGCGCTGCTCGAACAATCCAAATTTATTGATCGGCGTTTCGACACCGATTGAACGGATCGCTGTCGCGCCGTTTAATTTATAATAAGCCCAGCCTCGCAAAGTTCCTCGATGATCGACGTGATCTCGTTGTCGTGGGCATTGTTGCCAGCTTGACGCGAAGCGTCGAGCAATCGCAGACGATCCACCAGCTCGTTGGGGTCGTCCCAGTGCACGTAGTCGATCTTATTGTCGGTTAGCGTCATCGCGCGAGGCGCGAATAATCCCTTTCCGGATTTTTTCTTCTTGGATTCGGTTGACATCAATGGTGCAATTACCTGTGTATACTTGTATCCCACGTTGCCCTTTAATCGCTCGTGAGGATCGTGTTTGAATTTATGAGCACTCGTTGCCAACAGTATGTTCCTGTACTTTTGCCTATCGTCCTCCGTGTAGATATCGTATTCGGGTATTTTCTTGAAGATCAACTCGTAAATACCGGGTGTGCCGGCGTATCGTACGCCGTCGATATAAATGTTATCCGCTTTATCCACGTCAAAACGTTTATTACCGAACATCAATTCATTTTTGCCGAGATAAACACCGTATACGATGTCCATCGTTGGATAAGCGCTCAAAACAGACGCGATGTTAATTCGGCTCAAGGGACCCAAGTGATCTTGCAACAATTCTATAAACCATTCTTGACCCTTTGACGTTTGCAACCGCTTTTGAACGGTCGTCCCGATCGAGTCGTCCGTGGTTTCGAAAACATCCACGATTTTGAGAAATTCGGGACTTGTACGTTGCACGGTTAGCGTCGGTGTAGAGGTTATCGGTGTAGAGATTATTGGTGTAGAGGTTATCGGTAGTACTATCGATTGATTAGATTTACGCGGTGTCGATGACAGATTGGACCAGGAGTCTAATTGTTTCCTCTTTCTCTTCGGTGTAGCATCCTCCTCCTCCCCGCGCTGTTGAACGGATAGCGGTTCGATTTTCACGTCAGCGTCGCTCTCTGTCGGCTCTTTCTTCACTGCGATCAAGCTCGAGTTGTCGACGATCTTTTTAAGTGGCCCGATGAGAGGTTTAAAGTGCGTGTCCAACTCAATGTCCTTCTCGATCTTACCGGTCTTCAAAGCGCAAAGTTTCTTGCGAATCGAATTACTCGTTTTCGCAATATCTTTCACGATCTTCTCGCGTTCGCGAATCGTCTCGCTCCCGTCGATCGCAGCCGTCGTGGCGTCGTTGGGGGGGGAGGGGACAAAGCAAAGTGTCGATCTCTCTCTGTAACGCTAACGTTGTTTCACCTTCGACGACGTATCGGCGACAACTGACCGCTTTTGCGGTATCGCAAACACGTTAAATCCTTTTCTGTATCGACCGTTCGACAGCGCGCTGTCCTTGTCTATCACTACGAATCCGTACTTGCATTGCCAACAATCGTAGCATAACGAGCAAAATTCATCGTACGACATGTCGGTACGAAGACGAGGTCGCGAAATACCCGATAGTGCTTCGCGCAAATTACAATACGATGAAGAGCGAGATCAAGTGCGCTTTCAGAGTGAACTTTAACAAACCGAACAACGTCGGATCGCTGCTGGGATTCTCGTCGACGCGAATATTGCAGCCGGGACAGTGGCACGAATCGTACGCACCGATTAATATTATCAACGTAAACATTATCCGCGTGGAGTGTAACGTGACCGCGGGTGCGTACAGCAACGACAAACGCGTTCATACAATACACGAATTTTCACCGAGCGTACCACCGGGATATAAGATATCGGAAACGCCGCGGCGCCAGCGCAGATCATTTATCTGCCGATCATCGTGCGGAGCGTTACAAATCTAACGATACGCGTCGCTGATCAAGACGGAC